CCTTGCCCGTGCCCGGCCCCCCACCCCGCCCCAAGGCTCGGCTCGGCCCTTTCCCCCCAGCCACGGAGAAGCCCACGTGCAGCCTGCTGGTGCCACCTGGCGGCTCCTTGGCACGCCGGCACCTGCTTCCCCACAGGCCGGGAAACCCCTTCTGCAGGACAGCTCAGCCCCGCAGCCCTGGGCATCTCCATGTGGCCAGGTCCCAACCCCCGGGGCTGCTGGGTTCCTGACAGCTTTGCCCCCCACATCTAAGTGGGGGGCAAGAAACTGCTGGGCCCTATTGCAGCCCAGGGCTAGGACCCTGCCTGGCAGAAACGGTGCCCAGGAGAAACGCGCACTCACCGGGGGCCAGGGGGGTCGGCAGGGTGGGGGCAGGGATAGGCCGGGCCACCGGTTGCTGCTCTAAAGAGGGAGGCACAGAGGAGTCAAACAGCAGGACCAGCTGGAGCCCGAGTGCCCCGGGGTGGCGCAGCAAAGCCTGGACCCAGGGCAGGCAGGACGCAAGCGCAGGCTGGAGAGGAGCCTGGCACGGTGTGACGCCAGTCCCATGGCAGCAGCGCCAATACAGGGCAGGGGAGCGGGACCAGGTGCCCCCAGCACAACCCATCCCTCCCCTCCCCTCCAAGTCCAGGCTGGCAGGGATGCGGCCCTGCCGAAAGGCAGCATGGAAAGGGAACCGTGTCCTCAGCAGCTCGTGCTGGGGGTGCAATATGGAGCAGCGCAGGTCTCCCTTCTCAGCCCTAGCCCGGTCCGACTCTGCTCAACTTTGGGGTGGCAGCAAGGCGGACCAGGCCAGGAGGGGTAGGGGGGCACTCACCTTGGAGGGCAGAGGCAGGGGTGGCAAGTGGCGTGCCCACTTCCCTGTGGTACTCGGCCTCCTCCTGCCGTGGGGCAGCTGCCAGGAGGGGAGGGGGCTTGGCCTCCGGGGGACCCCGTGTGCATCCTCTTCCACCTGGCCAAGGGGACACGAGGGTCAGAGCAGCCTGCGCCCCAGGACACGCTGGCACTGGCACAGGGGAGCCAGCGAGGCTGGGGGCTGTACAGCCAGGTAGGGGGTGAGCAGGGGGGTGGGGTGGGAGGGAAGCAGGAGTCCCCAGGGAGGTGCCAAGGTGTGTGGCACTGCAGAACGGACCCAAGTGCCAGGCCTAGCTAGTGGCCTCGATAGCCCAGGCACCCTCCATGGCATAGCCGCCCCACCTCGCTGGCAGGGTGCCCATGCAGGGAGCTCTCTGCGGGCAGCAGGTCCTCCAAAGCCTGCTCCTCCTGGTTCCCGTAGCCGTCGAACTCCACCAGGCACGTCCCTGCCTCGGTGTCCACCGACCGCACCGTGGCCGGGTACAGCAGCCCGTCCTCCGACCAGACCACGCTGCAGGCGTCGCCCACCTGCCACTGGGGAAAGGGCACAGGTCACATCAGCCCCCCATCGCAGGGCCCGACCATGGCGGAGAACCCAGGAGCCCCGGCTGTGCTCCCATCACCCCCCACCCCTGCCACGTTTCACCTTCTGGAGCAGGAACCCCCCGACCCAAACCTAACCCTGCTCCCTTCCGGGGAGACAGCTTCCAGCCACCGGGCCTCACCGTCCTGCCGGGCCGCGGCGAGCTGTCGGGGGTCCGGTCGGGAGGCAGCAGGTCCCGCAGGCTCTGCTCCTCCCGGTTCCCGTAGCGCTCATACTCCACCACGCAGGTGCCCTCGGCAGGGCTCAGGGCGACGACGCGGGCCGGGTACGTCAGCCCG